CTCAAAAAAAAAAAAAAAAAGTTCATTTTGCAGGGCCGGCCCGGTGGCGTAGCAGTTAAGAGTGCACGCTCTGCTGAGGTGGCCCAGGGTTCAGATCCCGGGCGCACACCGATGCACTGCTTGTCAAGCCATGCTGTGGCAGCGTCCCAGATAAAGCGGAGGAAGATGGGCACAGATGTTAGCTCTGGGCCGGTCTTCCTCAGCAAAAAGAGGAGGATTGGCGACAGATGTTAGCTCAGGTCTAATCTTCCTCACACACACACACACACACACACACAAAAGTTCATTTTGCAGAGTATCCCTTATCTTTCTGAGAGAATAAGTTTTGTGTATTGGCAACTAGACCTCCAAAGGTTATTTGAAGGGACTGAATCTGTGTGTCCTTCAATACCACCATCACTAGAGCAAAATACATCCGGTATTACTCCCAAATCATTTATAGCAAAGCACTGCTTGATGCGAGACATTGGCCTTCTCCTAATTTGAGCAGCTTCATTTGAATCTACCTTTACTGATTCACCACAAGCTACACCTGAGGGGGTTATAACCACCTCATCTTTTAAAAGCACCTGTTGGGGAAGGATGACAGGCCCAAGGGCCCCTCACACATGGAAAATGTGTCTCACGATTCAGGGCCAGGAGCCTCACTCCTAACCTCCCTTATCTATACATCCTCTACCCCATCAGCCCCAGGCCACAGAGTTAGTGGTTATCCTCTTAGCTCACTTCATATACACAGGAGGCAAACTTTTTTTTTTTTTTTAACTTTCATTTATTTATTTTTTTCCCCCAAAGCCCCAGTAGTTAGTAGTATGTCATAGCCACACATCCTTCCAGTTGCTGTATGTGGGACACGGCCTCAGCATGGCCGGAGAAGCGGTGTGTCGGTGCGCGGCCCGTATCCGAACCCAGGCCACTAGAAGCGGAGCGCGCGCACCTAACCGCTAAGCCACGGGGCCGGCCCAGGAGGCAAACATTTTTAATAATTAAGTTTAAGAAATCCAACTACTCAGGGCCGGCCCGGTGGCGCAAGCGGTTAAGTGCGCACGCTCCACTGCAGCAGCCCGGGGTTCGCAGGTTCGGATCCCAGGTGCGCACCAACGCATCGCTTGTTAAGCACATGCTGTGGCAGCGTCCCATATAAAGTAGAGGAAGATGGCCACGGTTGTTAGCGCAGGGCCCATCTTCCTCAAGAAAAAAGGGAAGGATTGGCATCAGATGTTAGCTCAGGGCTAGTCCTTCTCACAAAAAAAAAAAGAAAAGAAATCCAACTGCTCTCCTTCGGTGGGGGAGGAGGGGTTGTGAATAGGGAAATTGTTAAAAGGAAAAAAAACCTAATATCATTATTTATAAGGAATATGAAATATATTTAATTTCAAACTATTTCCATACAATTTCCATTTCCAACCCATTTTCTTATTAACTTTGAAAAATCAACCAAACTTAAAATGAAAATGAGTCCCAAAATACTGGGGCCAGTACTTTTATATAAAGAACATATAGTTCAACTTGGAAAAATGATTTATGAAGCAGTCCCTTAACATGTCCTGCCCAAGGTAAGGTGCAAAATGTCACAAGAGTGGCTCAAACAAATTCCACAGTGCACCAGGAGAACTCTGTCAGGGACGTAACTATTCTACCCATAACCCAACGCAGACAACACACAACGAGCCTTGCCTTAGCAGCTGCCAGTCCTCCTGAGCCCCCTCCAATGATGATGAGGTCATAGTCATAGGACTCGGGAAGATCCTCAGAGCCATTCATTTTCAGGAGCTTTTGAAGTCTGCCCTCCTGATAAGCCTAAAGAAGAAAAACAATAGAAGGGAAAATAATTTAACTCAAAAGCAGCAATGTCTGCCAAGTTTTAAGGGAAAATCTTTCTTTAAAGAAAAGCAAAGGGAATTTTCAAAGGAAAAATATTGTTTGGTTCATATTATGGCATACAAATGGAAATGTTCAACCTTCCTTCAAGTGGTGATCAGTAACTTGCTATGTTAGGACTGTCCTAATGGTCTTTTCACATCACGGATAGCTACTCTGAAGTGCTCCTGTATTAATTCTACATAAGTAAGGTCCTGATGGCCCAAGAAAATCAACTTAGGCCTAAATTAAGTTTGATCATCAGTCCTTTTTTCCTAAAATCGTTAAACTGGGTTTTAAAAGCATTTGTACTGTATGCTTTTAATAGAACCATCAATACAATTTGGCAATCATCTTTACTTTCTAGTCAAAGGTAGAATAATGAGGGGGTTAAGGTCTCAGACTAAGATAGGGGCCTGATAAATAGCAATTGAAACAGATTAGCCAAATATGTAAGACATACATTGTTTAGGTAAGGCATAAAATCTAGAAATTCAGAACAAAATCATTAATTGACATTTACCTGCATGAAAAGTTAAATACGAAAAGTCTCTGCTTTTGCAAGGCATTGTAAATAAGCAAAAAAAGGGGGGGGGAGGGGGCCCTAAATAAATAAATAAGCACAACTCTGTAAAGCTCACTTCTTTAATCTACCCATGCGCAAGCCTCCTATATTTAGTATTTAGTTTCCACGTACTTGGCACATAACAAGCTGTTAATAGAAATGTTAGACTTTTAATTAAAACAAAATAATTTCGGCATAGTGGTTGAGTTCGCGCGCTCTACTTCAGTGGCCCAGGGTTCAGATCCCAGGCATGGACCTACGTGCTGCTTATCAAGCCATGCTGTGGCGTCCCACATATAAAGTAGAGGAAGATGGGCACGAATGTCAGCCCAGGGCCAATCTTCCTCAGCAAAAAGAGGAGGATTGGCAACAGATTTAGCTCAGGGCTGATCTTCCTCACCAAAAAATAACTAAATAAATAATTTCATTCCACTAGTTTTTTTTTTTTTTTTTTTTTTAAAGATTTTATTTATTTATTTTTTCCCCCCAAAGCCCCAGTAGATAGTTGTGTGTCACAGCTGCACATCCTTCTAGTTGCTGTATGTGGGACGCGGCCCCAGCATGGCCGGAGAAGCAGCGCGTCGGTGCGAGCCCGGGATCCGAACCCGGGTCGCCAGCAGTGGAGCGCGCTCACTTAACCACCAAGCCACGGGGCCGGCCCCTCCACTAGTTTTTATACACATTAGTTACATTTCCTATCAGCTTGGAACACTGTTTTGGTGATATATTTAATATTACCTTTTACTAAAACAAAACTCTGTGCTAACATGAAATAATGATTGGAAAAGTTGTTAACAAGCACAAAAAAAATGTTTTTTTAGGGCCGGCCCCACGGCCTAGTGGTTAAGTTCAGTGTGCTCTGCTTCAGTGGCCCAGTTCAGTTCCTGGGCACAGACATACACCACTTGTTGGCAGCCATGCTGTGGCAGCGTCCCACATACAAAATAGACCAAGAATGGCACAGATGTTAGCTCAGGGCAAATCTTCCTCAGGAAAAAGCAAAAAAAAAAAAAAAAATGTTTTTTTAAAAATCAAGTTTTAAACTTAATAATCCAAAAAGCCCCCAAACTTACCAGCCCACATCGCACATTTTTCTCCTGCCTATCATCAGATGTAGGGGGCGAAAGGCAGTGCTTAGGGTCAGCAGAATAGGACACTTGGGATGAGGAAGGGGGTGCAGTGGAGGAAGGTGGAGGAGGCGGCTCGGCACTGTGGCTGCCCCTTGGCAGCATGGCAGGTACACACGATGGCTCAGGGACTACAGGGAGAACACCTGGAAACCAGCAACAATGGGGACAAGACTGCACCACTCTGATCGTCTGCACAAAAGGTCTAACGTGAGAGGCTGGTAAACACAGCCAGTATTCATCAACTGGCATTACGGCAGAGGCTCCTCCTTCAATACAAGGCACTGTGGGGGAAAAACAATTTGGTAACAGCCGTTCAGAGCAAATGATTAATATAAGCTTCAGATAACAAACATTACTCTCTAGTGGGTCTCACAGAGCATAAGGCTGACTTGCTGGTTTCAAAGAATTAACTAACAAATGCACTTAGATGTTCTTCTGGAAAAATAACCAGTTTTAATCTCAGCCTCGTTTTATCTGCACGTACTTAACACAGGTGGAGGCAGAACACAATTGTTGACTGCCTAAATAAAAACCACCCGTTCTTATAACCCCCTCCCCCAACATATCTGAAAGGAAGAGAAAGAAAATACATTGTCATGCTGAAAAGCCACATACTCCCTCCATCCTGTTCTTTATCAGACCTGGGTTCTTATGGTTCAAGCTTCAAGTCAAATTATATCAACCAATGCACAGATTTTACAAAGAAAGCTCTGAGCAAGCCTGAACATTTTTAACCCTGTAAAGTAACATCAGTAAGACACAGGCAATTAAGGCATTCAGCTGACCCCAAAACTAAACATGATGTTTTTAAATTTTAATCCAATTTAAAACTGAAATTGCTAGGGACTGGCCCCGTGGCTTAGCGGTTAAGTGTGTGTGCTCCACTACTGGCGGCCCGGGGTTCGGATCCCGGGCGCGCTCTGACGTACCACCTGTCTGGCCATGCTGACGCAGCGTCCCACATACAGCAACTAGAAGGATGTGCAACTATGTCATACAACTATCCACTGGGCCTTTGGGGAGAAAAAGGGAAAAAAAAAGGAGGAGGACTGGCGATAGATGTTAGCTCAGGGTCCGGTCTTCCTCAGCAAAAAGAGGAGGATTGGCGTGGATGTGAGCTCAGGGCTGATCTTCCTCACACACAAAAAAAACAAAAAACTGAAATTGCTGTCATTCAGCTCCAGGTAAGTGGTTTCCCACCCGAAATATAAATAAGATAGACAGTAGAAGACAGCTCCCCCAGACAGTCTAAGGAAGGAGCACACAGACGAGGCAAGAAGAGACAGGAGAAAAATGCCCCCTATTCTCCCCCAATTACAATTGTTAGAAATGGTGGCCGCTGACCATAGCAGCTGATGTGGAACAGGAGTTCTCAAACTTTTTAGTCTCAGGATCCCTTCACAACCTTAAATTATTTAGGATCCCAAAGAGCTTTAGTTAATGTGGGTTTTATTTATTAATATTTAGTATACTAGAAATTAAAACTGAGAAGATATTTTAAATATTAAAATATTCTAAATTATTAAAATGTTAAATATCTTAAACATTATTGTTAAACATAATTTATTAAAAATATTTTTTTAATTAGTGAGAAGAGTGGCCTTGTTTTATATCTTTGTAATTCTCTTTAATGTCTGTCTTAATAAAAAACAACTCATTATCTTCTCTGTGTTCAGTCTGCTGCAACACTGCCTATCATGTAGCCTCTGGAAAACTCCGTGGTAGGCTTGCAAGAGAATTAAGAGTAAAAAAAGGCAAACAGCATTTTAGTACTATGAAGACAATTTTGACCTCAAGGACTTCCCTGAAGGGGCCTCAGGGGCCCCCGGAGGAATCCAGACCACACTGTGGGAACCACTGCTACAGGATATAGTGTAAATATACAACACCTCACCTGCAGGTGTTTGCCGGGTTCACATAGAGGATGTTCTTCCATTTCTCCCATCTGCCTCTCACAGCAATGCTTTTCCCCCACCCTTCCTCGGGTAAAACACTGCTCCAGACTCCCCCCAAAAAGGCGCAATACTGAAAACAAGTGTGCTAGGTTTCTTTAAAATTAGAATAAGTAATTTTCATTTCCCCCCCAAACACGATTCATGTCCTTTCGGCACAGATTTGTACTGTTTTTGTTTGTTTGTTTTTTGGGTTTTTTTTTTACCATCATATGTGAGCTCTGGTGTTGAAGTGACCTAGGTTAAAATACTTGCTCTACCACTCTTGAGGCTAGGTGACTTGGGCTAATCACCTAATCCTTAGGAGTCTCTGTTTTGTCATTTTGTAAAATGAAGTTAACATACCCCTATACCTCACCAAACTGCTGAGTTTGTGAGATAATGCATATCAGCACAGTGGCTGGTAGGAAAAATCCTTTCAAGTTACTAATTCTCCCCTTCCTAAAGAAGAGAACTGGCCTGGGGCTGAGTCAAAAGCTCCAGAGTGTTTTACAGATGCTCCCCGCACTTCCCTGCACCGCCCCCCACATGAAATGCCCTCTTCCTGTCACACATCCTGATCCAGCACAGACAGACTGCACAATGTTAGATTATTTGTATTCAACGTACACAAACACATTACCCTCCTAAAGCATTCCTTTAGGGGTTGGGGGATTCCTTTACCAACATTCTAAGACTCCAACATAACACCCATTCCTTCCATGAAGTCTCGCTGAAGTCTCCAAAGAGCACTGTCTTTTTTTAATTGCAACTCCATTAACACATGTTGTCAGGGCACTTAGCACAGGCTGTTCCACCCCAGTCCTTTGTGCCCTTCAATATTTAGCAGGAAGTCTTTACTTGACAGTGCCCTCAAGTTGGGTCCTCCTCTGAGATCCCACTGGCATCATCACACAATCTCACCAACTCTGCAAGGACAGGCATCTTCAGGCATCTTGTCTTTCATCTTTGCATCACCAGTGCCAACTTTGTGATATATATGTGTGATTTTCAAAAATATTTCCAGAATAAAAGACTTAGGTGCTAGTTCCTACTCTGGTATGAATATCAAGAGGCTGGGTTTCAGTTTTCTCATCCATAAAAATAAAAGTTGTGGTAAAACACCGGAAAAGTACAAGGCATATAGCATAGTGGGTTAGGAGCTTAGATATAGACCAAACCTGAACCTGACTTTGCCACTTACGTCTGATCTTGGGCAAGTTCCTTCAATTCTCCTGCCTGGGTACCCTGTCTACAGTGATTATCTCACCCACACCAGGAGCCAACTTCCTTTGAAATCTGACTGCTATGTTGCCGACATGCTGCAGCATCCACTGGGGTTGTACCTCAAGCCTCTTTGTGCTTTGGAGGATTATGTGGCAGGAAAGAAATAACACTAAATGATGGCTTAAATGCTACAGACAGTCTAGGAGAGAATGGGCCCTGAGCCTAAGACAGAAGCTGGCAAACTACAGCCTGCAGCGCAAATCCAGTAGGCCAGTTTTTTGGGTTTTTTTTTAACAGTCCCTAAGGATGATTCTTAACATTTTTAATAAGGGGGAAAAAATCAAGAGTAATACTTCATGATACATGAAAATTATATGAAATTCAAATTTCAGTACCCATAAATAAAGTTTTATTGGAAAATAGCACACTCATTTGTTTCCATATTGTCTATAATATCTGCTGTTTTTCCAACAATAGCATAGTTGATTAATTTCAACAGAGATCATATGGCTCACAAAGCTTAAAATATTTACTATCTGGCTTTTTGCAGAAAAAAATTGGCCAATTCCTGGCCTAGGGAAATTCTGAGTCAATGTTGTTGGCGGGTGCTAGGTGGAAAGTACCAAACAATAATACTCAAGTGAGCTCAAATCAAATAATTAAAAGTTCACGGAAGTAGAGGTTCTTGCTACACTATCCTCCTCCAAGTAGAACCAGGGAAGTTGATTCTCCATGACCAATTAATTATCTAGATCTTCAGCTATTACGCACCTAAAATATCTAGAGCCAAGGTAATACTTAACATTTACTCTTATCAACTACTCTGGCAAATTACTTATGACAAACAGATTCCATTTCAAATGCCTCCCTCCCGGGGGCCTTCCCTTATCACTTTGAGGTAGCATCTCAACCATTATCCAAGCAGTTTTTCTACAGAGCAATCATCATTAATAGGAATATTGTTGACTCCCCCTCTGATAGGCTGAACAATGGTCCTCCAACATCGAAGTCCGAATCCCTAGAACTTGTGAATACACTACCCATAAAAGGGACTTTGGAGATGTGATTTAAGGACCTGGGGATGGGGAGATCTTCCGGGATTATCTCAGTGGGCCCAACTTAATCACAAGTATCCTTATAAGAGGGAGGCTTCATTACAGTAGAAAACGTGAAAACAGAAGAGGTTGCACTGTCAGCTTTGATAATGGAGGAAGAGACTGTGAATCAAGGAATGCAGGCGGCCTCCAAAAACTGAAAAAGGCAAGAAAACAGGTTCTCCCCTCAGAGCCTCAACAGGGACCAGCCCTGCTGACACCTTGACTGTAGCCCAGAAAAACCGATTTGACTTCCAACCTCCAGAACAGTAAGATAACAGATTTGTGTTGTTTTAAGCCACTAAACAGTAATTGATAACAGCAGCAATAGGAAAATAATACACTCACTAAAATATGAATTCCATGAGAGATGGGCAATTTTCTGTCCACCACTTTTCCCATCAGTGCCTAGAGCAGTTCCTGGCACAGTGGCACTGAGTAAATTAACAAAGTGCCAATTCCAAGTGCTCGGTATGGGATTCCCCAGAACAAAGGCAAGACTATGAGGAAGTCACATCCAGACTTAAAGGAAAGTAACTGAACTATGACACAGATGTCACCATGGAAGGAGGTGGCAGCATGGGCTTTCCGACCCTGACCCAGAAAGTGAGGCACTAACACGAGTGCTCACGATGAGCCAGACACTGTGCTAGATGTTTTACATCTACTATCCCACTTAATCCTCACAATAGTCTTCCAAGCAGATGTCATTCCCGTTTCAGAAATGATGATATAGCAGGCCTTAGAGATTAAGAAACTTCAAGAATTGAACCCACTGAAACACAAATCTCTTGCTTTTCTCACTACACCATACCCAGTAATTCACATTTCAAAGTACTTGTCACATACATTTCCTAATTTTATCCTTACTGTAAACTTAAGGGATAGGTATTATTCCCACCTAGCAAATCAAAAACCCAAGGTTTACAGGTTCAGTAATTTTCCCCAAGTCTCTAACTAGAATGTTAGAGAGTGAAGATCTGATCCCAGATCCTTTGATCAGAAAGTGGTTCTGTTATACAATAAAGTTCTAATTTAAAGAACTTTCCATAATATTCTCCTAAAATTCAGTTGATTTTATTGAACCTGTAAAATTTAAGCCACTCTAACTATATTAATAGGAAACCAGCAGATTTGCAGTTTGCTTCATATTTAATCTCTATAATTGAATTATCTATTGGTCAATTTTCCTTTTTTCTTCAAGATTAGCAGTCGCTTTAATTTCAAGGTGATGAGGCAACACAGGTGTCATGACAACCAGTAAGAATAGAAACAAGAGATACTTGATTTATATTTTAACAGCTATAACTTTAGAGAAGACCTAAAAAACTACTGTCTCCACAAACCTCCAGATTATCTATTAATGCTTTTAATCATCACTAAGTTTCAAATATCCTAGTAAAGACACTAGGCATTTAACAGAGCAAGCTGGGGGTGAGTAAGGAACTGAGGAAAGACCTTTTCGCTATCATTAAGAGTACTATTTCCTCAAACAGCAAACCTCTGGAAAACCCAAGGAACTCAGCTGGTAGAGACATGCTAAGTGAGGATCAGAGAAACCAAACGATGCTTCCATGACTGCTAAATCAAAGGGTGGTGGTAGACACCGCGAAGGTTAGCACTCCTTCACACGATAAAGGGGAAGGAACGACTAGGAAATAACTGGCCAAGTTTCATGAGAAATTTCTCTCTTTGCTAAAAACCTCCACTATTACTGGTGAAGAACCTTCCCCACACATATATAAGATCTCTCCTCTCAATCTTGATGTCATTCGTTCTGTCTTTGGATTTCCCTTCCCTTTACATCCCACTTGACTTAGCAGGAAAGTTTATCATTACTGCTATGCAAAACAGATACTTATCCACTTACCAGTTTAATGGTAAAAATTCCACTCCTACCAACAATTAAGTTCCTATAGGGATCAAGAAAAGAAGCTTCTAGGCATGCTCACTGCACCTTCAGAAACTGTTTTCTTAAAGATCCAAATTTTTGGCAGTAACCTCCAAATAAGGCTGTAATTTATACTCTTAAAACAATTGCAAGCAACAAAAAGAAAAAAAAGCCTTCATGGCTTTATATGAATTGAAGAACATTTGGATAAATTAGTCATATATTTCAGTTTAAACAGGGACGGTTTCCAGGCATTTAAAGCCCTATTAAGAAATGGAAAATTGAATGGAGAACAAATAGTCAAGGCTGTCACACAATGAAACATCACTGATTCTGAACAACACTCTGTGTACTAGCAGAAGCTACCAAGGGAAACAAGAAGCCAGCGAAGAAATTACCCAAGTAGATAAAGATTATAACTGGATGTCAAAAAAAATTTTGTTTGAAATAATCTGACAAAAATATTTTCTACCTCTGAGAATACTAAAATACGAGTTAATTCAATTTTTGCCCAGTTTAACATTCAAATGGAATAGTTTTCTTAAAAATCTTATGGTTCTCTGGTGCCATAACTTTTCCCAATTCCATACTCCCCTGCCTAGAACACCTCTCCTGTCTTTGACCAATTCCTACTCAGCTTTCAGCACTTAATTAACACCTCACCTACTACAGTAGAGACACACTACTTTTGTTGAGTTCCATCACAAGAAAAATTATTTAGATTATAGATATCCACTCATTAATCTTACTGAGTCCTCTTTGTAAAGAAGTATATGGCATCTAAATTTTTTTTACACTCAACATTGCAGATTCACTGCCCTACGGTTAGTCTTTCTTGACCATTTTTTTCACTCACTCTTCCCCCAACCTGGTTAGGAGCCCCATATGGGATTCCCTTGGTTCCCTATAAAACAGGAAGCAATGTAATATCACAGAACATCCTAAGTGATTTTTTGGCAAATTACCAAATACTCTGTAATTTATGAAATTCAGAATGGATTTTTATTAAGTCTTAAAAGGCATTCAAAAAATTTTTCTCATGAACATGCCAGTGCATTTTTTTAATAACAGAAGACCAAACTACCAAGAAAAATACACTGCACAGTAAAATAATTTCTGATGTTCTTGAAAATACTTTTTCACTTTCCAAGAGATACAATATGTGCTTCTGTTCAGATTTTACTCTTCATTTTGAGATACATTAGAAAAGCCAGAAAACGCATCCTATACTAAGAACAAAAATCTTTAGTATGAGTTTGTGATCATAGCCTCTGAAATTTCAAAAGTTGCCACAATATTTTTCCAGTCCTGTAAACTCAAAGATATAACTCCTTGTTTCCTGCCATGGGAACTGGGATCATTTCCCTCACCCATTTGGTTAATATTAATTGGCTCTAATATTGGCAGCCTGTCTTGGTCAAGCCTTATTCTTGCAAAACCATCCCTTATAATGAAAGAAACATAAAATATATTCTCCACAGTACGAGAAAAAGAGTTTGGATCAACCACAAATTCAAAATAGGACACAGGAGTATCAGGATACTTTCGAAAGTACATTTGCAACAATCCCAAGATTCTTTCCACTTCTTTTTCTGTCGCTTCTTGATTACCATTCAGGTCCAACTTCCTCAGCTTTGTAGGCATATCCCCGTTTTCTTCCATTTTGTGAACTTTTTTCTGGTGGTCAAGCCGGGGCTTTGGTGCAGAAGGCTCTGACGTGAACGAACCAAAAATAAAGTGGAATGTTTCAGCTCGCACTATCCAGGATGTTGCTTCCTTTTGTACTGTCTCCCAGAAGGAAAGAGCTACATTATCATCACAGCCACTCAACTCATCATGTTCATCCTCTTCCATCCAGTTTAGACCCACAAATATAAACAGAAAGTCACAAAATGCTACTTGATTAAAAAAGCTCGTATTAGAGTTTAGCTGCTTTGCTTTTTCTTTACCCAAATCAGAAGCCAAAACAAGAAACTGGGCATCGAGGGCTGCTTCCCTTGTTCGGCTCACTCCATCAAACAGGACATTGGCTTCCTCAAGAGCCTCGGTTAATGAGTTGCTCGCTCTGTTCACTATGTCATCACGATTCTGCTGCACGTTATAGATGAGCTGCCGGTACTGCTTGCGGATATTCCGGCATTTCTCCTCGTCAGCCTCGAGCCCTAGGAGGTTTGGTTTTATGGCGGCATCCCCACAGCCGAGGTCGTCAGAGCAGCAATCAGGCCCCACCGCTTCCACCTTCATCGGTTCTCCGTCCTCCTCGGCCTGCTTCACAGAGTACGCGCTACCAGTGATGCTCACCACCGGCTCCTCTTTTTTCTCCACGCCCTCCTTCAGAGAGTCTTTCTCATCAAACATGTCGACGACTGCTGATGCTCAGCTAACGGCTTTCGCTACGTTTCCCACAACAGCAGAAACTGAGGAGGTCAGTTAGAGCGGCGGGCGTCCGCCCATGCGCACTGGCGGCGCGGCCCGGAGGCCCGCCCCTGCTCCCGCCCCCGCTCCCGCCCCCAGCTCGCTCCACCTCCCACCGGCTCAGCAGAGCCCAGGCCCCGCGTTCGCGAACGAGCCCGCGGCCGCGCACAGAACGCGCGCAATAATGGGTCCCAACGCCGAGTGTCCGTTCAAGCAACAGCTATTATTTACAGCTATTATTTTAGCGTTTACGAACAGTGTCATGTAGCTTTCAAAGAAACAGCTGGACAACGTTATGACAATTGCGGGGAGACTAAAGGTCCTGCGCTCTAAAACATTCGCTGTCATCTTGCCACTAGGTCGACCTCCATTTTTCGTTCTTAATATGATTAAAAGGTGGGGTGTCTTTTTGTTTTTGTTTTTTTGAGAACTAAATCTGGCTAGATTACAAACTGCCCGTAAAGCCAAGGACTGTGAAACGCAGAACCTCCATTACAAATCGGCCGAACTCGCAAGGTTCATTTGCAAGGTGGTTGTTTGGAACTCATTCTTCATTATACAAATGCAAACTTACCGTCGGGGGCCCTCAAAAGCCAAATCCCCTCCAACCTACCCCATGGTGGAAGGGAGGGCCCGTCTTGGGGATGCGTCTCTTCCAGCGCATGTGAGAAGGGTGGGGCGTATTATTCAAGTGATCTTTGGTTCTCCAGCACTCAAGGATGGAATAAACTGGGTACGGTTTCTGCAAAAGAGCTATTTGGAAGCTTCCCAACGGCTAAAGGCCAAAGACTAAATGGATAGTAAATCCGAACCCTAAAAGGTGAGCAAAACTATGAAGATTTTAAACACAAATCTGTTCTAAGGAATATGAAAGCGAATAAGGATGTATAAATCAGGTAACTAATCTAGGTTGGAAAATGCACCCACTACCTAGTTCATTGGAAATTCACCCACTACCTAGTTCACTGAAAATTCTTGTACAGTTGGAGAAAGGGGTCAGCTGACCAGTCACACAAGTAGCAAAGTATATGTAACAATGGAAAGGAATACATTTTGTTTTTAGCGAGAGGCACACTCTGAACCCACAAGATCAAAAGCTTTTAACCACTGCAACAGGTGCCCCTGTGACAGAGACAGAGAGACAGAGACGGCAAAACTGCACCTGTCAACTCGAGTTTCCCCTTCCCTTCCTTGCTATGCATGTAGACTGTTCATTATTCTCTGACATTAGCAGAAAGCTTTTCACAAATGCATGAACAGCAAAACACAGTATTAAGTCACTCCAAAATATTTATATTACTAGTCGTCCACCATTTTTTTTTAAGTAGGGGTAATTCAGGAAGAAACATACATTTTTCAAAAACACCATGCACTATGGTTACTTGTACATAGATATTATCCTGCCTATTAGACTGTTAGCTTCTCTACAGCAAGAACTTGGTTTTAAATATTCCAAGCAAAGCTGTTTTCACATGGAGGCATTTGAGTATGCATATTTGAATGTATAAATGAATGTAGATGAAAAACTTTGTCCCAGCACCTATTGCAAGTTATTTGGCAGCAAAAGATTAATTTCATAGATTAGTGGAAGAAATAGATCCTACAATCGAAAATAAAAGTTAACTGCTTTTCAGAAAGTCAGCCTTATCCCTTCTCTGAAATAAAGAAAAAGCAGGAGGAAAACAAAGTTGGGACCCAGGATCATCAAAGGGCCATATTTTCCCTCCAAGTCTGGCCAACTACAGACTAATATTTAAACCTGTTTTAAATCTTGGATGAAAATACACAGTTAATTCTAAGTCCCAAATCCAAAAAAGTATGCTTTTATAATTAACCATATTCTTGGGAGCTTCTAATATCCACTTCATATTCAATAAAAGCAATTTATAAAAGAACTCTAAAAGACAAGCCAACCTTCCCACCCTAAGGTACTTATTTTCTCCTGGCTCAGAGAAAGGAAAACAGGCTGATACCAATTTGCTCCATACAGACCCTTTCATCTAAGGATTTCAAAATGCTTTAGAAAAATAAATTAATTCTCCCAACCTACTTATAAAGTATTACTAATGCCATTTACAGGGATTTCTCAGGTGATAATGGCCTACACAACTTGCTCAGAGCAACAGAACACAACAAGACAAGCATATTTCTAAATTGTAATTTCCAGCACTGAATTCATTCTATGCTAGATCCCTGTCCCTAAGAACCTTAGTAACATGTAACTTAGATCGTCCTCAGAAAGTCATGCATGCACTGTATTTCGCCTTTAAATCTGCCTTTAGAGCACAAGGTTTAGATGTCGCTGCAAAGCAAAAATCTCAAGTCTAATGATTTTCCCTAATCATTTAAAGAATGAGATTTCTACACTTATGAATCCTTTAATCACTAAACAGAGATGTTATAACCTAAGGTCCAATTACTAGTAATAATTATATAAATGCAGCTTAAAAAGAAGGAATATTTATATAATGTTAGAAACCAATGTGACCTCAATAAAAAAAGAAGGAACAGCAATACATAATTTCGGTTATACTGGTAAACTTCTCCATGACTTGTTACAGAAAGCAAAGTGTACTACTTCTTCAAAGAAATCACTAAGATGTACCTTCATGCAGTAAGACTAGTTCAGGCAACCAAGATAGACAGCTTGGCCTTCAAGATAATTTAGCTCCTCTCCTCCTCTTTTTTCCTCTTTCAGGAGTTGTTGCCAAGGGCTCAGTATGGTCCTCCATTTCTTTTCTTCTGTTCTTCAGTTTTTTCTATGTTATTTTTCAGTCCCTTTGCTAAGAGTTCAGATTCATTCATTCCAAGCATTCTTAAGCTCTTTCCCATAACCCCTAGTGCTCACCACAAACATGGTGGGATGGGTGTCGTAAGTTACAAGTCTCTGTAGGGTCAAATAAAAAAAGAATTCACATAGGGTCCACTATCTTTTCCAGCAGGGTTTTAACTGCAGGATCAATCTGTAACAGATGTTGAAGAGACTTCTGAGCCAAAGCCAGCAACCCAGCCAAGTCTGAGTCCTGCACTCTAACAGATAGACTTATCTTGCTATTAGCTACCTCACTAAACTTTCCTGTTCCTTCTTTCACAAGAGTTTTACCCCCCTCATCCTGTCAGCGTATCTATTTAATACTGAGTTGTGAAGAAACATGGTAAAAAGTCCTGGTTTGATCTGTCAGATTAGCAGGATGTCAGGTATATTTTCTTTCTCATCTTAATTTCCTTTAAAGTTATGTTTGTGTGTATATTTTTGCTTTGTTTGGTTTTTTAGTATTAAAGGTAAACTTTGCTATGATCAAGGCAGATATCTGTGTGTTTTTTAAATGAGTTTCTGAAAATGGACAGCGTAAGGAGGCAAACTTGCGTTCCAATCTTGATCTATTAGCTATCAGTTTTATCTTAGGCAGGTTGCTTACCCTCTCAGCTTCCAGTTTCCTCATTTGATAGATGGGACTACAACTACTCACATCACAAAGGTACTTTAAGTACTGAATAAGAATTATGTGATAGATCTGAAATATTTTCAACTATTGAGTAAGTACTTATTAAATCTTAAATTATCTCAAAGATAGTAAATGTTTAATCAACATTAGACAGTAAATAGAAAAAAAATGTATACAAACCAGTAGCATCACTTCTGGATGTTGTTTTAGGAAAAGAAAAACATTTTAAAGGTTAAATCCGTAAGGAGGAATACAGAAATACATCCCGCTATAACAAATACCAGTGAAAAGAAATTCACCATATAATAAAATAAATCTACTAAGACTTCAACTAATGGAAATGTGAATAGTACTTTGAAGGGTAGACTTCTCTTCTAGATATTCTGAAGCAAGTCAACAAAGAGTCTGAGATTATATGCAAAATTACTTATGTATATTTTTTTCATGAATAGCTCCTTGGATTTCAACAGATTCTTTAAAAAACCCAGTAGTATCTAAAAGAGGCTTTGCCTATGTGTGCTAGTCAAATAAGATGGCTTTATTAGTGAAGAAAAATAAAATGAAAGTCAAGTCCCACAAAATAATTTGAACCCACAGACTGAAATACTTTAGAGTATATAAAACCTCCGCCCTTGCTCTGTGGTCAAGTTATACACTTAACTGACACTTCAGAAAACCCAGTGCTGGCTGACTTGCCAAGCCTCAAGAACTAACATAAACAAGGGTATGAGATGAGGAGAATAAAACCTTTCAGTTTATAGGAACAATTATCAACTCTTGGGATACCTCAGAAGTTGGCAATGACCAGGAGCATCGTCTTGATAGACTAGGAGTAGCAAAGCCCTGGGTATGTGGCTTTTTAAGGAGGCAGCCTTGACCTCAGCTCTGGAGGCCTGGGTTCAAATCAAAACTAGTACTTTATTTCTTTTTTTTTTTTATTTTTATTTTTATTTATTTATTTTTTTTTTTAAGATTTTATTTATTTATTTTTCCCCCCAAAGCCCCAGTAGATAGTTGTATGTCATAGCTGCACATCCTTCTAGTTGCTGTATGTGGGACTCGGCCTCAGGATGGACGGAGAAGTGGTGCCTCGGTGCGCGCCCGGGATCCGAACCCGGGCCACCAGCATTGGAGCGCGCGCACTTAACCTCCAAGCCACGGGGCCGGCCCTTTTTTTTTAAAGATTTTATTTATTTATTTATTTTCCCCAAAGCCCCAGTAGATAGTTGTATGTCATAGCTGCACATCCTTCTAGTTGCTGCATTGTGGGACGCGGCCTCAGCATGGCCGGAGAAGCAGTGCATCGGTGCACACCCGGATCCGAACCCGGGCCGCCAGCAGCGGAGCGCGCGCGCACTTAACCACTAAGCCACAGGGCCGGCCCAAAACTAGTACTTTATTAGTTTCCTGAGTTTCCTCATTTGTAAAATGAGTCTATTAGATGTCTTCTCTGCCATACAGAATGGTTGTGACTCTTTGTAAAAAATCATATGCAAACATTTGTTGACAAATGTATTATAAAATATATACACTGCCCTACAGACTTGTGTTAGAGGTAACAAAGATAGTATCTAGGTGAACTCAAAAACACAGGTGCTCAATAAACAGCAGCTAAATAGACATAATGTG